AATGTGATGTATGAAATCAAGAGTAGCAAGCTCTGTGGAGTGGTTTAGCCTGAAACCGTATTGATTATTGCAAAAGTTTTGTTGGCATCAAAAACGGAGAAATGTATGTATGTATGTATGTATGTTGCCAAGTTCCAACCAGAAGAATTTGCGTCTTGCTTTGATTGAGCTTAAGACGATTATTTGCCATCCATTTCTCGATCTCGACCAAACATTTAACAAAACGATCAACTGCAAGATGAAAGTTGCTAGACGATTCTGTGGCGAATAGCTGAATATCATCTGCAAATGCATGACACTCAAAACCATGTAATCTGATTGCCTCAATAATTTTAGAGGTGTAAAGAATAAACAAGATCGGTCCGAGAACCGAGCCCTGTGGAACACCAAATCTTATCGTTTGAACCGTAGAGGTCTTATTCTTGTAGATTACCTGCTGAGTTCTGTCTGTTAAGTACGACCAAAACCATTGTTCGACAGAACTAGTTATTCCAAATCTATGATTAAGAGGTTTCAGAAGACTGCAATGGTCGACACAGTCAAATGCCGAACTCATATCTAAGAATCCAAGAAGAGATGGTTTGCTGTCGTTTATATTTTCATGCAACTTAGATAACACATGCAACAAAGCAGTTTTGGTAGAATGATGTCTTCTATAACCTGACTGATATAGCAGTAACAAATTGTTTTTATCTAAATGTTTCATAAGCTCCTTAGCAACTAATCTTTCAATTAATTTTGACAAGAACGACAGATTTGAAACCGGTCTATAATTATTAAGATCAGAATTATCTAATTTTTCCCTTCTCAAAAGAGGAAAAATTGTAGCATGCTTTAACATAGCCGGAAACTCACCAGTACGTAAACATAAGTTTATAAAATCAGTCAAATATTTTTAAAACAATTCTACATATTTTTTGAAAAAGTGTGAAGGAACACAATCCAGTGAACATATTTTAGATGGAGAGTTCAAAACTGCTTCAACAATTTCGCTTTCGTCATAAACAGGAAAAACTGAAAACAAGTTGCTGCAGCAGACACCAGATGAATGATTAAATTTCTCATCTTACATCATCATCATTCCCATCATCGTACTTCTCATGTATGTATGCATTTATGTATGTATGTATGTATGTACGTATGTATGCATGTATGTATGCATGTACGTATGTATTATGTTTATAAGTATGTACGTACATACCTACCTATGTTTGTTTGTCTAAATGAATATTTAATTGATAAAATATATCAATATTATTGACAAAGCCGTCAGACAAAATCTGTTAGTATTTTTCATCATTAGATTACTAAAATTTTTTGACTATCTTTTTTTTCATCCGTAATTTATTCGTTCATTCATTCATCCATTCATTTATTATTTCATTCATTCATTCATTCGTTCGTTCGTTCATTCATTTATTCATTTTTTCGTTTTCCCATCAAACCTTGTAGTGGCGTTGTGAGCAGGGTTGTTGTTATGAGTCAGTGAAACTCATTTCTTAGTCAGGAATATTTATCACTTTTAGACACAAATGGTTTTTCTTAAACAAATTTATTCATGTGAAAATTTAAAAAAATTAACAAACTCACATGAATGCGATAGAAAAAAGAGTGCAACTCTTAATTAGTGCATGTATCCCAAACATCAGTCAGTCTACCTCGATCATGAAAAATAAATCAATTAAACATGCATGAAACCGTAGTTATATATTATTTATAAAAATGTTCAAAATTAAAGCATGCAGAGTTTTTGAAATAAATCAAATATGTAAACAAATATCATAAAAAATATTAAGATGAAATATTAAAAAAAATTATGTATGGCGAAATAAATCAAACACACGCAACACAATTGTTACGGAAACGCCCAAATACAAAATATGCAGCTATCAAAATTGGGATGTAGTGCCGATATAGTGAATTAAGCTGATAATTTTTTTGACTAGATTCGGGTAGAGCTCAATATTCTTAACATAAAAATGTATAATTCGGTAATGAAAATTTTGACCTTTTTAAATCGGCCGAATATTAATCATTATGTAATGCTGAACCTACACTATAACTTGATTTTTTCCAAATTTGATGTTGATATGGTGAATCAAGATGATTGTTTTTTACCACATTTGTGCAGTAGCTAATTTAAAGGGCTTTCCTGTGTTGAATAATATTTCTTTAAAAATTCAATGAAACTCAATTTTTAA